TTGAGAAAACAAAATTGGAAATTTAGTTTCTTATCTTTTCCTCCCCTCTACTTTTACCTCCTTCCCAGGAGTAATCACTATTATAGTTATATGATTATCAACTTATTTCAACTTATTTTTTAAGTTCATTTTCAAATTTATTTATTCCACGATTGGGAGAGAGACAAACAGAAAAACAGAGACAATACCCTAACTGGCTCTTGACTGTACAATCCACCCTCATCCTCAGCCCCAGATCAGGGACACATGCACCGAGCATGGAAAATGACCAAAATATTGGGTTGTTGGAAAAGTCATGACCTATTTTTCTGTGCAAAAATGTGTCATAATTTCTCTGATGACTCAAAATATAAAGTCAAAAAAGTAAGCTCTGGGGCCAGATACTGACATGGCACTAAAATAGAACATTCTGCAAGGATGACCCACATGGGAAGGTTCTGGGTTCACATCTGAAATATGCTCGGTGCAAGCAAGCAGCCAGGTCCGGGGCTTGAACCACGGTCAGCCATGTGAGAGTTCAGCGCTCTTAACCATCACACTACCTACCAGCCTCCTGGTTTTTGTTTTTTTTTTTTCCTTTCATTTTTATCTTAAAATTGTATTTCTTCCATGAGAAAAGGAGAGAGGTAGAGGAGTACCTTCAACAGGATCTTTATGCTGTGTTCCTGCCGTAAACCTCAGCTCACTAGAGTCATGGCACATGTGTGCATACACTGGTCTACATAATCATCGAGATGAGGACCTGGGTCTTTCCCATATGGCATCAGTTTTGTAAAGCGTGGAGTCACTGCTATGCCCCTGCAGCTGACCAGTTATAGAAGTTTTATAACAAATGCATTTTTTTTTAAATTGTGGTGTACTAAACTAATTGATTAAAGTCTTCTTATGAAAACTTACTGTATGTTAGAAGATAGCATATCCCTTTCATTATTGATTTAGAACAGTGTTTGAACAAGTGTATTTGATTTAATTACAGTGCACATGGCGTCCAGTTTGCTGATGACATTTTTCCTTTCGTCATAGTTTTTAAGTCAACTATAATGGAGTCTTACTTCTTCAATAATAAACAATTCCAAAAAATTTCTAATGTCTGCTTTCATTTTGTGATATAGAAGCTTCATTGTGATATAAAATGTTATGACATTTTAATAAAGAAAGTAGATTATGGGAGCTCCATGTTATGGGATAAATTTCCCAGTGCTTCTGTGTTCTAATCAATTGGAATGAGAAATACTTTAGAATTTATGTTATATCTGTTTTGAAAGTTGAAAGTTAGGGATAAGTATTGGGATGGGATTATAGAATGTATTTGGGGCTCCACTATGGGAGGCGGGGTCAAGACAGCCCTTTACTCATAAATAGGGAGAAATTTTGACCCAGGGCATTTAGGTTACATGGTTCTTTCCCCTTTTATTTTGTTCGTTACAGGCAAAGGGGAAGATAGTGATGTACTCAGTATAAACGCAGATGCTTATGACAGCGACATAGAAGGTCCGTGCAATGAAGAAGCAGCTGCTCCTGAGACCACAGAAAATACAGTCCAGAGTGAAGCTGGTCAGATAGACGACCTGGAGAAAGATATTGAGAAAAGCGTGAATGAGATTCTGGGACTGGCAGAGTCTAGTCCAAAGGAACCCAAAGCAGCCACCTTGACTGTTCCTCCACCAGAAGATGTTCAGCCATCCGCACAGCAGCTGGAGCTGCTAGAACTTGAGATGAGGGCGAGAGCAATTAAGGCCCTAATGAAAGCTGGTGACATAAAAAAGCCAGCCTAGTTGTTTGACTTCAGTGTGAATTGTAGGTGTGTTTGAAGAAAGCTGCGTCGTATAATTTTGTATTTGAAGTTTATTTTGGGTCCTATGTGATATTTCTCATGTAACCATTATTAGGTAAACCCATCTTAGGTCAAAAATACCTATTGTTTTCTTTCTTTTTAAAAAATTACATTTAGTTATAGATATGTGTTACTGTCTTATGAATTCATGGCAAATGTAGTTGGATAGCCTGGGTACTTAGTTAACGAAAATAAAGCTATGTCCGCAAATTAATATCTTAAAAGCCATTAACAGTCATGCTATATTTTCTTTATTTTTAAATATTTTGACCTCAAACCTAAATGCTTAACAAAAATTGACCAAGCATGTTTTCCAAAAGCCACTTATATTTTGCAATAAAATGCTAAATTATGGCTCCTACTAGATTTGTTACCAACTTTAAAAATTTAGTTTTGCTCATATTCACTTTTACAATATGTACTATTTTGAAGATGCCTTCGGTGGGTTTAGGTTTCCTAGTTAAAACAGAATAAATTTTCATTACAAGGCTTAGCTGTCTGAAATGAAAGAAAAAATGACTTAATTTAAGGACTTTTGTAGAGACAAATCATTCTAGCAGCTATTTGATACTATTGAATATTTTGTTTAAATTTGTTTTTCTTCTATAAAAAAAGCAAATTTCATTTACATTCCAAGCTATCAGGAAGAGGAAAATATTTTATCATACAAGATTTCAGCTGGTGTTGTTGCTTAAATATCTGATGTATTATAATTCCATGAATCAAAAATAATAAAAGACTATCATTCTGAATCTGAAGACTTTTAATAATTTTCCAAAAGCAAAATTAATTTCAAGAACCTTTGATAAGTTGATGTTGTTATTAGTTTGTGCAGTTTTTGTAAATAAATTAGCAACCTGCAACAATTACTGATGTCTTTTCCCTCTCACTAATTGCAGTTGTTTGATACCAGAATAAATTTAGAAAGAGACCCTTATCTTAAAATAAATTATTTTTTTATGAAATATAAATCTGGGACTGTTACTTTCATATTGGATAACAAATGTAGTACTTTTTTATTTATAACCCTTGCTATTGTAATGTCATGTAAGGATTTTCTTTATACATAAACTTACAGAGATTATATTTTATTATCTGATTTATTTTCTATTCATTTTAGAGGGTTTAAAATGGAAATAGAAGACAGTTATGAAACATCAGAGTTGGAGTTACAAGTTCTTTTTGTTAGTTTTTGTTCCTAACATACCTTTAAATAGTCCTGATGTTTTTTTTCCCCTCCCTGAATTTTTTTCTTTTTCTTTTTTCTTTTTTATAATGAAGAATGCAGGAGAAAGAGAGAGAGAGATAGAGAGAGATGCTCTTGATAGCATCTGGGGTCACTCCACAGTCCTCTTCCTCCACCATTCTGGTACCTGGCAAATTTCAGGTCAACCAGGCCAGGTATCTGAACCCATGGCCATCCATGTGGCTTCTGGCACTCCAGTTCAGTATGCTACAGACTGTGCCACTTAGCCTCGGCCCTCCTCTCCCCTCCCCCAATCTTCCTAATGAGGCATAGAAACCTTTATCATTTGAAATGTTTCTCTTAGGCCAGTAAATGTGGGTGTGATTTAAATAGAAGTTCTCATTGTTATTGCTCAAGACGTTATTATTTCAAGATGAAAAAGCACATATATATATTTTTGTTTGTTTGTTTTTTTCCTTTGCCAGAAGGAGCAGGCACTCACCAGAGTGATAAGGAAAGGGAGAAAGAACCCCACAATGGGGCATGGTCACACCTTTATCCCTTCTCTTATATTTCACCATCCTGTGGGACGGCCATGTGCACACACATGGCCCAGTGTGTTTTTCAGGCCACTGAGACTGAGATTCTAACTGCATTCAACCATGTAGGATCCTGTTCCCTTAACCCCCAGGCAACAGGGCCAACTTATAATTTCTATATTTTAACTTAAACTAAGTTAAAATAATTAATGCAGACTAAGCTTCGATGGCATTTGTATGATTAAATGTTTAAAAGTAGAAGAAGGTCCAAGTGACCTTTTTTATTTTAGTAGCTGATTAAAAGTCCCATCTTCACGAACCATTGCATGTGTGTTCTGTTCAGGACACAGATGGGTTTAGAGAACATTTGACTGGACTGGATATGTGTGAGGTAGAATGAGCTGAACAGATTAGAGGCTACATAGATTTCTACTTGGGAAAATCAACTTTTATCTTCCCCTTTTTTAGATATTGAAAGACTTAAGAGCTTTCTGAAAATGAATGGTTTTAGAGAATAAGTTTGTTTTTGAAATCCTAAGTAATGAGAAAATACCATATATTGAGCTTACGCTGTCCTATAAATTGTCAGCAAGCAGATATTGAAAGGCTGCTAGGGACCAGCAGTTAGAGTAATGTCTATGTCGCTGGACTACCATGTATTTGACCACAGTTTAAGTCCCAGACCCGGTGACTTAAACTCATGCCGGATGCGTGTGCATATGTGCCCAAGATCCCAAGAAGAGAATGGAGGAAAAGGGATTGTGGCGTGGCCATCCCCTCTGGGGGGTAATTTCTCGCTTTCTGTCTCTCTGTCTCTCTCTGTCTTTCTGGCGAATGCACGTGCCCTATAGCAAAAACCTCTCCAAAAAATAAATAAATAAATAAATGCTGCTAAGGTATTCAGTCTTTTTCATGTCTTAAACCCAAAGATGTAATAGAATAGATTTATTTTTTCTTTTGTAGAGGTTTTGCTATAGGGCATGTGTGCTCGCCAGAAAGAGAGACAGAAAACGATAGATCACCCCCCCCCCCAGCGGGGATGGCCATGCCGCAATCCCTTCTCCATTCTCCTCTCTGGATTCTGGGAACACATGCACACATGCCCACTGTGAGTTTAAGCCACTGGGCTCGGGACTCAAACCACAGTCGGCTCCATGGGACTCCAGCGACATAGCCACTATGCCAACTGCTCATCCTAAAATAGATCTTAACATGGAATAGACAGATTAGTAAAGATATGACTGCTACTTCTTTTAATGGTTAATTCCTTTTATTAAGGTAAGGAAAATTTGTAGGCAGTATTTAGTAACTAAATTAAAATTAAAAAGGGGGGGCATGGTAGCACCCAAATTTCCCAGTGAGTGTCAAGCCATCTTGATGTTTGGCTAGGAACTTGAACCTCATCTTAAAGATCAGGTGACAACTGATAATAGGCCTGCATGACTGAGCAGTATTCCCAAGCACTAATCTTTGGCCCCCTTCTAGTTCCTACTCATCCACAAACTCAGATATATCCTAAAAACCATCACTGGGTTACCAGTATAATACTCCAATTATGAAAAATTGCCCCAAACTCATAAATCTTTGTGTTGAACACTTAATTCCTCAAGACTATCAGACAATCTATCTTTTTCTTATAAATCTTTCTGCCAAACCTATTTTCAGCAAAATGTTAGATCCTAAGTTATGATTAGTTATCTGAGTAAAGATGTTTTGAATCATTTGAACGGTAGTACAAATGGCAATACAATATACAATATACATTTTTCAGTATCATGTTTAAGGTAGATAACGCAGGGTGAGCCTGCAAGCTTGACCAAATATTTAGGCATCTTAATGTTTGAAAAATACTTATTTCTGTTCCTTCATAAAAAGCAGGAAAAGAGAGTCAGTTATACATAATTTTTCTTTATTGCCTTTGTTGAGTTCTTAAAAAAGTGAAAGACAAATATAAACTTAAATGTAAAAATAACTAAGTAGACTCCCTTATAAAACAAAGAACTATTAATTTCTTTGTTGAGTTCAAAAGAAGCTCAAATATATTTCCTTGATACTTACGATTTTTAAATGCTATTTTTTGTCATAAAAAAAAAAGTGAGAGTTACAGTCCGTTCTTATTTTACCCTGACCAGCTCTGTGACCTTGCACTATAAAATGAGGGAAAAAATTGCTAGCCACTATGTAAGATTTCTTTCAGCTAAATTAGTTTGTGATTCTAATACAGAATACCATAAAATTTGCAAAACTTATAGATCTTTTTGAGTTCAATATTTCTTTCTTTTGTTTAATTTATCCCTTCCATGAACAAGAAAGAGAGCACCCCCAACAGGGTCTTGATGCCACAATTTATACCTTCACCCAACCACAGATCATGGGCAAGGAGATGCTTGGCATACTGAGGAAATTCTCTGGACTTGGACCAGGATCCTTCTCATGTGAAATTGCCTCGTAGTGTGTTGCATTTAGTGCTGTGCCACCTTGTGGTCCCTGAGCTCAAGTATTTCTGTCTCCACCCTTCCCATCTCTACCCAATTCAAAATGAAACAATCTATTTAGTGTCTCTTTGTCTCTTACTGTTGCTGGACTCGAACAACAGTCTAGTTACTGTTTTATTTAACCTGTTAACAGTATTCATTATCAGGATCACTTGGTAAGTATACTGCCTAGAATTGCTCACTTTGGTCTATAGACTGTAATTATCGTTAACCTATTGTTTCATTAATTTAAAGCAATATATAAATAATTTTAAGTCAGAAAGTTATTTTTCCAAAGCTGATTGTGAAAAATATCACTTTCCTTCCATATCCTTTCTTCTTTTTTTTTTAATTTGCTAAAAGGTACATGCACTCACTAGACACAGAGAAAGTAAGAAAGCAGCCTTTGAGGAATAAACATGCCACAATCCCTTCTCCTCTCTTCCTTCTTTTGGGCATGCATTCACACACACACTGATGTGTTTTTCAGGCCACTAAGTCCAGACTCATATCTTCTTTGATATTTTCTCAATGTTCTCTTCTGATTGGTCCAATGATTTAATTTTTTTTAAAGAGACATTTTTGCTATAGGGTGCATGCATTGACCAGAGACAGAAAGATAGAAGGTGAGAAATCAGCCCACAATGGGGATGGCCACACCACAATCCCTTTTCTATTCTCTGGGTATTTTAGGCATTCACACACATGTGCCTGGCATGAGTTTCAAGCTGTGGAGTCTGGAAACTGGTCAGCCATGTGAGAGTCCAGCAACATAACCATTACGCCATCTGCTGGTCCTATTTAAAATTTTTTTTCTGTTAATATTTTTTAATGTCCAAAAATATTTTTGTTCTTTTTGGTTTTGCTGTAGTGCATGTGTACTCTCAACAGAGAGAGAGGAAGTGAGACATTATCTGCCTGGGGCTGGGACTGACCAAGCCACAGTCCCTTCTCCTCCATTCTCCTCTCAGGATCTTGGGCACACATGCACATGCACCCAGCATGGTTTTTCTGTTTTGTTTTAATGTTTTTTGCCTGAGGGCAAGTGTACTCCTAGGAGGGAGAAGGAAACAGAGTAAGAGGGAAGGTGAGGAATCACCCCCCCCTACCCCCTGGGGTCTGGCCATGCCACAGTCCCTTCTCTATTCTCCTCCTGGGATCTTGGGCATGCACGCACACGTGTCTGATGTGAGTTTTAAGCCACTGAGTGTGGGAATCAAACCACGGCTGACCATGTGGGAGTCCAGCAACGTAACTGCAATGCCATCTGCTGGCCTCCATCCAGTGTGTGTTTTAAGCCACCAGTCCAGGACTTAGACCTTATAGATGGCCATGTGGGATCCAGTTGCCTTAACCATGCCACCTGCCTATCCCTATTTTTGTTATTTTTTATTCACTATTGTCTTTTAAAAATACCCTATATTCCCATGTGTATAGCAGGTGGCTGTGGCATGGACTCCTGGTGACCTTACATGTATCCTAGTTGCCCATGTAGGCAAAGCCTGAATTTCAGAATGTCCAAAATCTTGGCAGAACAGACCCTGGAGTGTAAC